GAGCGGGGGCCGCCCCGGTGCGGCGGCGGCGCGGGTCGGGGGCCGCCGGGCGATCGGTGCGAGCGGAGCGGAGCGCGGCGTCGGTCGGGTCCCGCCGTGCGCCCGCGCCTCTCCCGTACCTAAAATGGAAGTTGGTCCGGCGGGCGGGGCGGGGCGGGCGCGGGGCCGCCCCCGGCGTCAGCGCCCCGCGACACGGGCGGGCGGGGTCGGGGTGGGTCCGTCCCGCCGGGGTCTGTCCCGGCCGTGCGTGCCCCGCGAACCGCGGTCCGACCGCACGTGGGCTCCGCTCTCGGGGGGATCCCGCCCCGGGAGCGGAGCAGCTGCTCCCCTGGGTGCGGGTCTGCCCCGGGAGTGGTGGGACGAGGGGCTCTCTGGGAGCAGCCCGGCAGACCCCCGGAGCAGAGCCTCCTCTGGCCCGTCCCGCGGCGGGAGACGTGTGACCCCGTCCACGGTGGAACTTTTTTCCATAAGCAAGATTTCACGGGCATTTGGGCTGCAGAACCCCCCCGGGGGTGATCCTGGCCCCTCTGGCTCCAGGGAGCGGGTGCTGGCAGGACCCCTGCCACAGCTCACCCTTGGGAGCGCCACGAGGCCAGGAGCTCATCCCGGGTGGATTCTGTCCCCGTGCCCCCACCAACGTGTCCCGTGGACTGACACGAGCCCTGTGGAAGCACAGATCAGCCCAGCCAGGGGCTCCATGCAGTGGGTGAAGCCCAGGGGCCCTTGGCACACGGGGAGAGAAATGGCAGCACAGCCCAGCCAAGGCAATCCTGCTCTGCCCAGCTCCCGTGGCTCCAAACCAGTACTGCCAACCCTGAGGAAGAGCAGAAGGGGACCTGGAGGTACAGAGACCCTGGGTGGGAGATTTAAACACGAGGTTTAATGATTGCAATTAATCCAGCTGGAGAAATGTAACTCTGGAGCGATCAAGAAAACCATCCTGCCTGGCCTGCCACTGCCATGCCATGGATAGGGGATGGGGGCTGAGCAGGAGGCTGCTGCAAGCAGGGAGGGTTTCCCCTTGGCTGGGGGGTAAGGAAGTGACGCCAGAGCAGCCCCATCCCAATTTCCAAGCTGCTCACTTGGAAGAAATCCAGGTTCCCCAAAGCTGACAGTTTTCTGCCTCATCCCTGGCCAGGCACTTGGGGACGTGAGAAACCTGCCTGCTTCTGACTGCCAAAGTGAGATAATGACAGAGGAAAAGAGCTGAGGAAGGTTTTGGGTGGGACAGGTGATCCTTGGGGTAAATATGCACTGGAAGGTGGGGTGGATGCGATAACAGCCTGTGGATGGACGTGACAGGGAGGTGATCCCCAGCTGGGTGGGGGTTGCTAAAGACAGCACAGAAAGGTGTAAGGAGGAGAAATGGGGATTCAATGCATGCAAAAGGCACCTCTAGGGAGATTATCAGGGTGTGGGACAACCCTCCCTGGTGTTTGATTTGTAAAATAAACCATCCAACCTGCGGGCTGCGGAGGGCAGGGAGAGCTGGCGTCCACTCCTCCTGGGGAGGAGAGGGTCTCTCCATCCCACAGCAGGGGACTGAGACCTCCCTGTGCCCCTTCATCCTCCTTGTCACCCAAAATGAGCAAGCTGGGTTCCTTCTCGGCCCTGTGCCTCGAGTGAGAGCTGCTCCCAGATCACAAATAACCCTCTACAGCCCTCCCCTCCTCTTGGCCCGCACAAGGGGGAAGGTGGGTTCATCCCCTGAGTCTCGGGGACAAGGAGGGAAAAGAGGTGCTCTCACAATTCCTTCTGGGAAGGAGAGTCCTTGCCCACCAGACACGTCCCAAGGAAGGTGGGTGGCCCAGAGCAGGGCACCAGTGTAAGAGCATGGGGGAGGCAGGCAGGGTGTGGGGCTCCGGCTGCTCCAGGCAAAGACAGTGTTGCTGTTTTGATCAGCCCCGAAATTTAACAGCCTTTAAAGTCTTCAGTTTCTTCAGAGACTAAACGTGCTCTTGCAAACATCCCTCTGACGCTGGGCTGCTGCCTCCCGTCCCCAGGGCTGCGGGATGGAGCTGGACAGGGTCTATCCACGCACTGTCAGCCCCGGCCCTGCCCCAGCAGCTGCAACACCCATCAGCGTGTGCTTATTTTGGAAGGCAGGCTGGACCCTGATCCTCCAGCTCCAGCTCACCCTGCAGCAGATCACACTCTTGTTTGAATACAACTCCTGCAGCAGAGGAGTCTGTCCCTCCGCGTCCTGGGGCGAGGAGAGGAGATGTGTTACCAGCACGGGAAAATCTGCCCTCTTTTCCAGTAATTGCTGCGTGTAATAACATCTTGCACACCCCCTTTCATCCTCTGGCTGATGCCTTTCCCAGATGAGACGCCCAGAAGCGCAGCTGCCACCGGAACAGAGCAAGACAACTTGTTTACAAGGCAGCCCTGCGCTCCTCGGCGGCCGGGGGCAGGAGGAAGGGGACGCCGCCGTCTCCGGGTCCGAGGGATGGCCTGCATTGTTCCAGGTCAGGATAACAAGGCCCTTCCGCAGCCCCTTTCCTATGGGAATCCCCACAGGTTGCTGTCCCTCCCCATAGGAGGGGAAGTGCGGCACCAGGGGGGGTGGAACGACTCATCAGACTCATCCGTCAGACAGGGGAGGAGGGAAGCAGGGCCTGATGGAGCTTTCCCGCCCTAGCTGGAGGACGTCAGAGAATAAAGCAAGCCCAGAGCCCACCCTGACACCCTCCCAGTGCAGTGTCCAGCAGCTCCATGTGCTTGGTGTGTTCCCTCCACCAGGCTGTGCCTGGACCCTCCCATGCCCACGGATCATCCCACTGTCAGCCTTTGGCAGCATCCCATCGTGCTCTCGGGCTGTCCAAATTCCTGTTGCGCCTTTTGCTCAATGAAGAGCGCACAGAAACCTCCTTCCCTCCCAGCCCCACAAGGGTCCATCGCCACTTACAGTCTCTCCTTCCTTTCCCCACCTCCAGCTCCTTTCCCAGGCTCAGACCCTGCCTTCATCCATCCCTTCTGCGAGGTCCCTCCGGGGAGCAGGGACTCAGAGGCAGCTCCTGACCTGCGGAGTAGTGACACGGGCAGAGAGGACATTGCTGAACATGATCCCTGCTGTGAGACCTGAGACAAGAACTTCCTTTCTCTTACAGAAACTGGCTCAGAATCCGCTGATTTGAGGGCTTGGGAGACACTGGGAAGAGGGGACTTGTCCTTTCCTACCAACCAGAGGGAGCCTGGATAGCCAGTGTAGTCTTAGGCCTTGCCTTCCCTTCTGCAGTGAATCCCACCAGGAGATAAACCCTGCTGGACATTCCCGAGCCTCAAGGGGCTCAAGCCTGCAGGCAGGGCCCTCCACGGCATCTGGATCCAAAGAGCTCCCAAGTGCCTGGTGAAGTCAGGCTTTCCAAGCGACAGCTCCGATCACTGTAATTCCAAAGGATTGCAAGGGGCGGGGGAGGAAACGTCTCTTATTTTCCTTCTATTTCTGTGAGCACATGATAGCACTTTGATACGAAATTACTTGTTTTGCTGCATCCCTCGGTATTTTCAGGCCGGGCTCCAAGCCACCCGGGGGGCAGGGACAGAGGCTGCCACTGACCTCAGCAGCCACTGGCCTGGGCCTGGCACCAGCCACGTTCTTCCTCGGTTTGTGCCCATTTTGCAAAAAACGGGGGAGGGAAAACCACCGTCACATGTGCAACCAGACGGAAACTCCGCGAGACCGCGTCAGAGAGCTTCGCACGGATTTAAAATCCACGGCGAACCCTTGGGCTCCCGTCCTCCTGGAACTTCCACCCGCTCGGCTGTCTCCCCGGCGATGGGGCCGGGGTTGGCACCGCCGCTGTCCGGGCGCAGCCACACTGACGCAGGCAGCACAATGGGCGCTTTTACGAGGCGGCGGAACGCTCCCGGGGCCAGCACATGCTCGCCGTGGGCCGCGTGCCCCGCTCGCCGCTCCCGGTGCCCCCCAGGGCCGCTCCCGGTGCCCCCCAGGGCGCCGAAGGCCCGACCCGCTGCCCGCGGGGCCGCTCCCTCCAAGCCTCCCTCAGAGCCGCCATGGCCACGCCCCCTCCTCCGCCGCGCCGCCATTGGCCGGGGGGGCGCGCTCGGCCGGCGCCGATTGGCTGGGGGGCGCGGCGGGGCGGGGCGAGGCGGCGGCGCCACGCGAGGCGGAGGGCGCGAGGGCGGCCTCGGGTCACTGCCCCGGTCACTGCCCCGGGGCTCGGGATCCTCCCCACGCACACGCCCCGGGGCCTCCGGCGCTGTCCCGCGCCCGCCCACCCTCCCTCCCCCGGCAGGTACGCGGCGGGCTCGGGGCGGGGGGGGGGTGCTTCTCGGGCCGCGGCGGCTCCAAAGCTGCCGCAGTGTCGCCGCCCTGGTGGCAGCGCCGGCCCGGTGACCCCGTGAGCTCCGGGGAAAGGTCACGGGGACACGGAGCTTTTGCTGCACCCGCAATTCCAGCCCCGGACCGTCCGGGACGGCCCGCAGAGCACAGCAGGTGCCCGAGCGCCCGAGCTGCCGGTGCCGCACTGTGTGTCCCCGCAGGCCACCCATGGGCTCTGTGCCAGCGCCCCCGCCGCTGCGGTACCGCAGCACCCGCCTGCTGCGCGCGGCTTTCCAGCTCCTCCACCAGCAGCAGCAGCGGGCGGACGTGTTCTGCGACGTGGTGCTGCGGGCCGAGGGTGAGCGGGCGACACCGCCCCTGGGGGTCCCTGCGACCCCCATCCTCCCAGGGATCGGGGCGAGGAGGAGGGGCTGCAGGGCAGTAACAGCCGACGTTGCTTTTCAGGTGAGGCGGTGGTGGCCCACTGCAGCGTCCTGTCTGTCTGCAGCCCTTTCTTCATGGAGCAGCTGGGCCCGGAGCTGCCCCCTCGGGGCTGCAGGGTGGTGCTGGAGCTGGCGGGGCTGAAGATCGGGGTGCTGCGCAAGCTCGTGCGCTTCTTCTACACGGCCGAGCTGGAGGTGGCGCAGGAGGAGGTGCAGGAGGTGCTGGCGGCCGCCCGGCGCCTCCGCATCACCGAGCTGGAGGCGCTGCAGCTCCAGGGGGGACGCCTGGTGAGGCTGGGACCCCAGCGGCAGCTCAACCGCTCCTGCCTGTGCTCCCCACAGCAGGGCTCCCCCACCACGCTGCTCCACAGGGCTGTGCCCAGCGGTGCCAGCATCCCCCCTGGGAGCACCGGGGTGTCCCCCCACGGGCAGCCGTGCTCTCTGGGGCCCACACACCTCAGCCCCATCAGGCGGGTGAGGCTGCGGAAGGTGGAGAGCAGGGGGTGCTGGGAGGTGGTGCGGGACACGCAGCCCTCCCCTGCCTCTCCCACGGTGCCAGTGGGCCATGTGGGGGTGACGGGAGCACAGCCCCCCCTGGATGTGGGTGGACTGGGAAGCGGGCAGTCCCCGCCCCGGCAGAGCTCCTGTGCAGCCTGGAGGCAGCAGGGTGGGGAGCCCCCTGCACCCCAGCAGGGCTGTGGGCAGGTGTTCCCTGGATGCGACCCTGAGAAGGAGGAGGAGGTGGATGTGGGCACAGTGGAGCCGTTCCTGCCTGCAGGCACAGTCTGCCTCTGGCCCTGCCCCTCCTCCGAGTCAGATGAGGAGGTGGATGTCCTCACCTAGGGCCGGCTCTGCCCCCCGCCGCTGCCTGCTGCTCAGGGCTGCACCCCCTGGCCTCTGCATCGTTGGAATAAAAGGCTGGAGCTGAGCTGTGGGGTGCGGAGCTTTATTGGAGATTGGAGGGAACAAGGGGGTGTGGGGGGAGCCAGGGGTCCGGCCGTGGCAGAGCTGCAGCATCAGGGACGGGACTGGGGCTGGCAGTGCCCCCCAGTTGGTCTCGCCTCTTCATGGACGCTCGTGCCGCAGGTGCCGGTCCTGGCTGGGCTGTGGGGAGAGGGGAGTTGGTCCCCATCCCATCCATCCCATGCCATCCCCGCTCTCCCCACTCACCTGGACAACGCCCCTATGCCAAGCTGCTCTTCAGGGCTTCCACCACCGTCTCCGGCTGGGGGAACTTCAGTTTGCGGGGGGGCCCCTTGGCGATGCCACTCCACAGCTCCACGGCTGGGGAGGGAAAGGGGGCCGGGTCAGGGGGTCCGGGGAGCCCCCACCGCCCCCGCCCCGGGCAAGCACTTACTGCTGCCGTCCTCCTTCACCAGGGACACCTCGAAGCTGTTCCTGCGCGGCGGCCGGGGGTTGATGTCCACGGCGAGGTGGGCGATGGCCCCGCGCAGGGCCTCGCTCACCGCCGCCGCGTTGCGGCCGTACACCCGTCAGCTCTTGCTGTGGGGACAACGGGGGTCAGCGCCCCGGGGGGCACCCCGAGGGCCTCCCCCCACCCCCCGCCCGGCACTGGGGCCGCTCACCAGTGCTCGATGACGACGCGGGGGCCGGTGCCCCCCGGGCTGCCCTCGTCCTGTGCATCGGCCCGCGCCCGCTTCTGCGGGGCTCCCGCCGGTTCCGGTGCCTCGGACGCCGCGGGCTGCCGGGCCCCGCGCTTCCTGCCGCGGGGAGCCATCCTGCGAGAGCCGGAGCGGCGGGGGCTACGCCGAGGTCCCACCGTGGGGAGCGGGGTCCCGGGGATCCCGCTGGGGGGGTGGGAAGGGACTCTAGGGACGCCGGTGTCCCCGGGCCACGCGGACCCTGCTTCGGGACGGGGTCAGGAAGGGTCGGTTCCCGGCGATGCGCCATAGGGGGAAAAAGGGGTGTTCCCGCTGGGATGATGCTGCGGGGGGCGGGAAGGGGGTCCCCAGGGATGCCGCCACGGCGTGTGGGTGGGAAGGGAAGGGAGAATGGAAAGGGGAGGGGGGGGGTTCCCGGGGAAAGGGGGGGGAGAACAGGCCCTACCTGCCGCTGGCCACGTGCCGGGAGCGCGCGCCGCCGGGAGGGGGCGTGGCCGGAAAGGGCCCCTGGCTCCGCCCGCTCCCGCACCAGCCAATCAGAGCGCGAAGCGTCCGCATCGGCCCCGCCCTCGCCGGCAAGCCCCACCCCCTGCACGGACCGGGACACGGGACACCGGGACAAGGGATCCTGGCATACGGGACACCGGACACGGGCACCGCATGGACCGTTTATTGTCAGCGATGAGAGAGAGCGAGCGTTACAACCGAGGCGGGGCCCCTCCTACCGCCCTGCCTGCACCGGGCCGGGGGGGCCCTGCCACTCTCCCGGGGCTCGGCCGGGACCGGCCCCCACGGAGAGCGGCGCCGGGCAGGGCCGGGCGAGGCCGGTGCCACCAGGGTGATGGCGGCGTCGTGATGGGCGACAGCGCAGGGCAGCTTCTACTTGTCCTTCTTGGTCTCCCCCTCGGGGTGCCCGGCAGCTGCGGGCGCGGGCGGGGCCTCCTCGGGCCCCTCCTCCCGCGGCTTCGACTGCTTCTTGGCCTTCTGGTAGAGCTCGTTGAGGTTGAACTCCCGGATCACGTTCTCCTGTGGCCCAGAGGCAGCGTCAGCATCCCCAGGGACCCCCACGGCCCCCTTCCCTTCCCAGGCACAGGCCAGGAGGGTCCCACCCACCTCTGAGAAGGTCCAGGACACGGCCCGGCCCTTCTTGTCGATCTGCGGCCGCCGCATGATCTCCGTGCCCCCCTGGAACAGGATGAGGGTGGGCAGCTGCTTGGTGAGGGGCGAGGTGCTGACCTTGTACCTGCAGCAGGACAGGCCCACGGTGAGCCCCGGGCGGCCCAAGGGGGCCAGGGGGTCACAGGGGCCGCCCTGGGGTGGGCCCTGCCACCCAGGCCGTGTCCTCCACACCTGGTGCTGACGTCCGTGTACCGGCCCACGTCCACCTTCCCAAACTGCAGCCCCTGGCAATTGTACCTGGGCAGGAAGGGACACAGAGCTGGGAGGGACACGGGGGACCACGGCCCCCGCGACCCCCTGAGATCCCGGCGGGCACCACTCACTTGAGAGAGAGGTCGGCGAAGATGGGGGCGAAGGACTGGCACTCACTGGACCAGTTGGCGAAGAACTCCACGATCCACGTCACCCGCTTGTCCCTCTCCAGCTCCTCCTGCCACAGGGGCAGGGGCTCAGGGTGGGGGGGAGGAAGGCAGAGCCCCCCAAAGGCCCCCAGGGATGGGGGGATACTCACATCGATGGTCTTGTCGCTGAAGTACTTGATGTACTCAGGGCCCATGTACAGGGGGGGCTTGCAGGTCATCAGGAACACTGCAGGGACAGCACCCTGAGCCCACAGAGCCAGGCTGGGGCTGGGACAGGGCTCCTCTGCCCCAGAGGCAGGACGCAGCGAGCCTGGGGCAGGGAGACGTCCCCCCAGGGATACTCTGCACACCCACAGCCCCATGCAGCT